GCCACTGCAATTTTAGAAAGGGTATTTTTGTCTTTTTTTCGGGCTGTAAACCAATCTCTGTACTGTATTTCATCACTGACATCATGATTCCTGGGCAAATTATTCTGTGTTTGTTCACAGTGGTACACATAAATGTTTCAGGGATTATGAGTTTCCATTCCTGCTGTCTAGGTGATGACCTGTTGAGACAGTGGTTATCAGCTCTTCTGAAAACTGCTTTACTTGCCTAATTTCCTTTACAGCTGTTAAGTTCTTGGGCTAACCACAAGCAATGTTTTCAGAATTCTCGGCACAACTGATTTTCCTCAAATTTGAGTCTTACCACAGAATACAACTCCAACATTACAGCTCTACCTCCCAAGCAGATAATGGACAACTACACCCACAATAATCAATAAATAAACAATGCTATGAATTCAGCTGAGTGTAGTACTTTTATTCTGTTTAAACTTCCACACATCCAGACAACTCAAGCACCAAGCTTGAAAAAGCTTGAGCAAGCTTGAAGAGGCTCTCCTGCCAGCCCATGGTCCTTCAGCAAAATATGAACAGATCCTGGGCAATGTTTGGTGATTTCTGTTGAAAAACACTTCATATTTTCTTGTATTTCTGTTAATTGAGCAAACTTCACTGGAGTGACACTGGTCCTAAGTCACCTTCTAGAGAATAACTTCCTCTGTAAAACACTATTGTCATTATTATATTCTGGTTCCATAGGGAGCAACATAAGCTGCAAGACAAAGCACACAACGCTGCAGAAAGCCAAGTAGCACAGTGTGGCATTCAAGAAGCTAGCAGTTCATCCCAAGTCTAGTGTGGGGAAAGCAGCCTGTGTACATGCATGTATCACAGGAGCCTGGATATGGGTTCTCTACTCAGTGATGAAGTTCTTCTGAACGGGTGGGGTGCTTGCACAGTACCAAAGTGCTGAGAAACATTAAGTCCCCAAGACAGATCGTTGTTTCATGTGGCCTGACAAGCACAGAAGTGTCACTGCTGCACTTCTGTCACACATTTTTTACCTTTCATTAAAGGGTAGAGATTGATGGTCAAGATTCTTGTTGTTCATAGCATTTCTGCTCCAGTACTTTTCATAGCCTTTGTCCATTTTATCCCCTTGGGTGTGAGTTTACATCCTCGAAGCTGTTTTGACAAATAATTACCCAGTATACTGCAACAGGAACAGTCCAGCACAAAACTTCATGTGCCTTCCACGTGCAACTGAAGTCCAAACCCACCATTGGAAGGTCTCAGAACACTGGCTTGCCCACTACCAAACTCTGGGATAAGTTTGTACTTATTCTACTACGTTCAAATTAGACATAAAAAATACATTTCCTGGGATGGTTTAAAAAGCCAGGTGGACAATCACAATAATATGCAGCTACGTATCTATAACAATAAAACTAGACAAGACAGGGGCTTATTTCATTCTATTGCTATTTGAACATGATCAAAATAGCTGAGTTCTACCATTTCATCAGAAAGGGCCACCTCCACAGAGAAGGTGTCTCCCTAGTCAGCTTCTCAGTAGGTGTTAAGAGGGCACCTGGGGGAGCTGTGGCTTCAAATCCTGTCCAGCAAAGAGTTGAAAAAGGTCTTACCCAATATTTTAATGCCATAATACCTTTCAGCAGAAAGGTATTATCTCTGCTCCAATTTTGTTTGGGACTCCAGAAGCAGTTCCCACACTATGAGTGTCTACAGTTAGACAGCTGGTCCGCTGACCTTTGCTGGTAAAGACTAAAACTGCACAAACTAATTTGGAGCCAGCATGGGGGGAGCAGAGAGGACAACCACAAAGACTGGTCTGAAAGAAAAATTGAGGGGTTGGAACCACCAGTTTAGTTCACAGGTGTCGGGTCAAGTCCATGAGACCCTCAAAAATATCTTGAAAGAATTTGATTACTTTGCAGAAAGACTCCCAGAACGCAGTTTCTGGAGGCACACAACCCATCACAGTTTAAAAACATCTGGTTCCCTGACACAGTCAGGCACTGGGAAACAGGCCACAAAATGAGTTACATTACCAGAACTGAATTATCTATAGTGTTATTTCATGTCTCTGTAATTCCTGAGCATTTTATAACTACTCTTTCCTCATGCCAACCTTCGAAAAACATTGATGGCTGTTCCACTCGACTCAGTTATCCTCACAGAGATGAAGCTCAGGAGCAACCATGGAGGAGAGAACAAAGGGAAAAGTCAGCCTGGGGGCTATTTTACACAGCAGCATTTGGCTTGTAATGGTGAAAAGAAATAGAAGCTCTGCCTCAGCTGCTTTCTCCCAGTGCTTCCTGTGCCACACTTCATCATGCAATTACTAAGGACAAAAGGAGGAGAAGCAATACAAATGCATAGGTTAGCAAGTGAAGGACACACTCTGATGCAAAGTTTTTGGTGGCCCCACTCAGATGCACTGTTAAAATACACAAGTATGTATGTGAGGGTGATGAGACACAAGAAGATGTTGCCCAGAGAAGCTATGGATGTTCCATCCCTGGAAGCATTCGAGGCAAGGTTCAATGGGGCTTTGAGCAACCTGGTCTAGTGCAAGGTGTTCCTGCTTACAGCAGCAGGGTTGGAATGAGATGATCTTTAAGGTGCTTTCCAACCCAGACCATCCTGTGATCCTATAATTCTACGTGCCCAGTTTGTCAGGTCTGCAGTGCATTTTTGTAACTAACCTTTACTCCATATGATCTGCTCCCTTCAGGTAATATTCAGGTCAAGGAAAACAAGCACCAGACCCACCAGGCCTATGACTAGTGAAAGATCAACCAGAGAGAGGCCAGAGGGGAGAACACATCACCAGCTTGGCTGCTGTGTAAAGCCAGAATGCATTCAGGACCCTGAGGTCTTGCAGTGTTCTGTATAAGAAGGAATATACAATGAGGTGGTGGTGCTGTCTTCTACTCTAGCTCGGATATATTTCATTCCCCACAGTGCTGCTGCTAACTGTGATACTTAGCCTCTCCTTTCTCTGTTCCCCTCAGCAAACTGAGGCTTTGTTCGGGTTCAGTTCTTCTGGAGGTGGACTGAGATGAGATCAAGAGCTGAAAAGCCTGCTAAGAAAGCTGGAACATTTGCTGTTCCTCCTCTAATGTTCCATAGAAGGATAAGAAAAAGAAGTACATTTTATAGGCAACAGAAAAGGTAGCAAGGCATCTGTAAATGCATAAGAGGGGAAACCTGAGGGTTTATTGTCTTACTGGGGCAGGTGACTGCTATGTTTCCAAATTACCGAGCTCAACACATTGGTTCCAAGACCTCCCATGCCTGAATATGAGACCTTCCCAGGCAATGAAACTCCTCTAAGAGGAGGGAGGGATATGTTGCTCACAAAATGAGTAAATGTGATCACAAGAGGGTGTGCTATGCAAACACAGAAAACAATTCATTATGACTTTCACGCTTCTTACATTCAGCAGTCAACATGTCCATTTCACGCAGGCAGCGAAGGGATTCAAACAATTTGGGAAGTCTGGGCAATGAACTCAGCAGAAAACTTGCAAGGATTTCCTAGAATGATTTCTACAAAATTTTTAATTTCTTCTCTGGGCAACATCTTCTTGTGTCTCATCACCCTCACATACATACTTGTGTATTTTAACAGTGCATCTGCGTGGGGCCACCAAAAACTTTGCATCAAAGTGTGTCCTTCACTTGCTAACCTATGCATACAAAATTTTTAATTTTGTAGAAAAGGAAAAGAAAACCCTTTCTCTCCAAACGTGAATCCAGCTAAAAAAAATTAAAATATATTTGTGATTTACAAAGAGAGGGAAAGCCTGGTCTGGAGAACTTGTTTTGGAAGCGTCCAATAGTATGATTTGTGAAATTGCCCTGGAATTTTTTTTCCTTAAATGTATATTGGTTAGAGCACAGTGCTAGTAACACCAAGGTAATGGGTTGGATGTCTGTGTGGGCCATTCGTTTAACAGATGGACTCGATGATCTTCTGGGTCCCTTCCAACACAGAATATTCTGTGATTCTGTAATTAATTTGCACACCTGTCAGCAGGGTCCCAGTGTGTGTGAACAGGGAGGCTGACTGCTGGCCTCGCTGTACTGGCAGTCATCGTAGTGACTCCCAGGGGCCATATATGTGTACAGAATGTTTTATAACTACCTGGATACCCCGTTAGTAGCCTGGGGCTGTCTGTGTTTTGAGTGCCTCTCTTGCACATAGCAGAGACCACTGCAGAGCTGAAGCAAAGAGCCCAGTGTTGCACGTGCTGTGAACGGCTGTGCCGAGCATTCCACTCCACTGTTGCAATGGCGTTTTTCCCCATTACAGTAAATGTCAAAATCCAAACTCTTAGCTCAGCTTATATGTTGTGGAATAGCCTGGTGGCTGCTGACAAACCAAGTCCTCAGGAATTACAACTGTTTAGGTTGTTCTTAACACAACCTTGCAAGAGGATGTTGTAACATCCAACAGGTTTTGAAAAGCAAGTGTAAAGTAGGTGGTTTGTGGTTTGGATTCATTTTCAGCTCTGTCCACCCTAGGCTGGGGTACAAACCATCTCTCCTGTTTGACAGTCCTGGGTGGAGTCTAATAAAACGGGTGCTCCTGAGGATCTAACTCTGTTACTAATATGAATGTATAGTGTGGAACTAACAAGCTCTTTGAAGACCATTGATAGTCAGATCTTCCTCCTGGGTCCATGTCACTGTTGGTCACGGCAGCTCTGCTCTCCTGGGACATTAACAGAGGGGCAAGAGATTTCTGAGGAGCAGCACTCCTGTCCTTACCTGTGAGGTAAAGTAGTGTGTGTGATAGGCCCTTTGAAACAAATCCTGCTGTCATGTTCTTGGCCTTAAATACACTGTACTAAAGTTTTTTGTAAGAGGTGAATTAATGAAAATAAATCTTTTATTTCTCTAGCATCCCGTTGTACTTTTGATTTTTTAAGTTGCTGTACAGGCTGTGGCTGATAACACATGTTCTGTGGTGCCACAGAGTGAAAGCTTTAAATCCTAATGATTCTTTTGGTCTGTAGCAATTGTTTCTGTTTTAGAACAAAAGAACATGCTCCCCTTCCTGCTCTAGAGACTTTACTAGCTAAAGAGAACTATTTACACAGGCATCCAATGGTGAGATGCTCAGAAGACTTTATTATCTCAGCAGGACTGTTTACAGGAGCAGCCAGTGATGGCTGATCACAAAACTTAGCTAAGGGGGAACTATTTACAACGGTGAGCTCCGAGTTGAAGTGCTGAACAAGATGTCCATGGAGGTGTTGTGCTGGTAGTAGTGTGGCCTGGCAATGTACTCCATGACATTGGAGAGCCCTGGCACCACGCAGCAGCTGACGGCACCGCGGGTGATGCCCATGCTGTGGGTGTTGTACCACTTGTTAGTGTCCTCCTCGTACCACTCAGCAGCCATGGTGGTGCTGAACCCGTTAAAGCCCCCAACCACGAACAACAGGCCGTCCATCACCTCGATGCCAAAGTTGCTGCGTGGGTTTAGCATGGAGGGCACGGCGCGCCAGGCGTTGGCAATGGGGTTATATGCTTCCACGGTCTGGAGACAGCTGTTTCCATCAAACCCTCCGACCTGTGAATACCAAAGGGACAGAGTTGAAAGGGGCCTTCCCTCAGCCAGATCCTGTCACGCACCAGTGAGATGGGAGCTGCTCCTGCCTCCCTGGTGGTGGTCTGAGCATGGTGGAGAGCACAGGATTTCAGAACACGGCGCTTGCTTATTGCAGTCTGCTCCCTTGGGAGCTTCCCAAGGCACTGTATGCAGCTGTCAGATTTGACAGTTCTCCAGGGGTTGGATGCAGTCCATGGAGAAGATAAACAATGAATGAACAGGCCCAAGCCCTGCTGTGTGCTGCTGATGCTGTTGGTAGTGGCAGAAGATAAGTTGTTTGCTGCAGCTGCTTAAACATTGCCCACATCTTTTTCTTACCAAAAAGCGTGTGATGGGTGATAACATTCATGGTAAGTCCATCAACTGTTCTGGTTCTGACTTCCCTAAACCTCACATAAACACATGGCCAGCCTGGTGTTGTGGGAACTGCAGCTATGCAAAAGCCTGCAGTGCGGGGTGGTGGTGGCCCTTACCGCGTACACGTGGTTCCCGTACGCCATCACCCCAGCCCCGCTCCTCCTGCTGCTCATCGGGGCGATCAGGGACCACTGGTTTGTGGCAGGGTCAAACACTTCAGCTGAGCTCAGGCACTGATGACCATCAAACCCACCACAGATGTACACCTGGAGACAGGAGAGAGAGGAAAGTGCCAGGGGAGCAGTTAGACCATTGGTGAGACAATCTGTTGGAGAGAAAATGAATGGTGTGGCTGGATTTTTGGGGTGTCTTGTTTTGTTTTAGGAGGGGAATGAGAATGTCATCCTGAGTTTGAAGTAGCAGCACTACAGGGAGTTGAAGGCAGCAGGATTTAGACCCTTAATTTCCCAAGCTGCATGAAGCAGACA